CTAGCAGTGGGATTTGATAAATCGTTTTTAGTATAGCTTGAATTTTCAGGAATGTCCTCTATTGTTCCCCTAGCTTTTGCTTTCTGTCCTGCTTCCTCTCTTTCCAAGCTCAAAAGATGGGGGAGATAAACATCCTATTTTGCGTTATAATTTTTTGATGTCCTGAATTTACAAATAAACCTGTTTTCTATTTAATGCTATGTATAATTATAAGATATGTAAAAGCTGGGATGTTCTCTGATTATATAGGACAGAGTGAGTGGTCCAAACTCAGGTTTTTGCTATTGATCAGACAATTTTTAGTTTTCATTCTAGAATGAAATTTGGGGTTTTGTCAGTTAGTCATTTTTTTCTCTGAACTTTGTTCCTCAGCTTGTCTTTCTTTGCAAGACTGGAGTATCATAGCAGTGTACTCTCCAGTATTCCATGCTAACTTGGATCTTGATTCTCTAGAATATGGAAAATTCTGGTTGGCAAGAGAATGGGTTATTCACTTTTTAAATTGAAGGAGTTCTTTGTTGCTTTTAAAAATTAATACTATAGTCATGGTAGTAGTTGCTTGCTGCTGTGATTTTTATGTGGTTGTTGTATATCTTCTGTAGGACACTGTTCCTTCTAAATTTTACATCATGAAGTTGTTGGAAAGAAAATCTTTGATAGCTAGAAAAAAAAATACCCCCTGGGTTGATGTTTAATATTCTGGCATAGATAGGCAGGAGAAATAGTTAATATGATAGTTACAAGGCAGAAGTCAAACAGCACTAGCCAGGGCATTGGTATTGGAGTAGAAACAGGTCACTCTAATTTGGTGCTGTAATAATACTGTTGTGTTTACATAGTGCCGTTTGTATCTGTGTTTGCCACACAGTATGTGTTGAATTTGGAGAAGATCTGGATTGCCCACTAGTAGTGACTCAATTGGTGATCATATTGTGTACAAGAGAACATATATGATAGCATCAGAAACCCTGAGCGTTAAGGTCTGGTGGTTCACTGCAGAGGTAGCCATGAAGAAGATGACTGATTCCGTGATTACATAAATCCACTGGGATTTCCTTTCCTGACGATTGGAAAGAGGGGGTGGTAGGGAGTGTCTTTGAGGTGCAAGAAAAAAACTACCTGCAATTTCAGGCAGGCTGGGTCAGTAAAGTTAGTGGAAATTGTTGTAATTTTGTATGAAAAGGAGATGAACTGGACAGATGACATTTTGGAGAAGGAAATCATTGTGAGACTTGGCTCAATTTTGTACATTTTTTTTTGGTCTGGTTTTATGATACTCTGTTACATTGGATTGCTCTGGCTTTTGGTTATTATGCAGGAAAAGAGAAGCCCTGAGATGTCTGAAATAAGAAATAGCATATAGTTACGGGCACTAAAGAAAACAGTGTCTGGAAGGGTTGAAAAAATTCATAATTCATGAATCAAAAACAGAGTGTATAGAGACTAAATTGTGTTATGTAGTTGATTAATAATTTATGTCATGAACTGTCTTCTGAAAGTTTTGAAGTAGGCCAGTAGGTACAGAGGCTGCGTACACGCAGGGATGTACATTTCCGTGTCCCACGTTGTCAGATTTGCAGGAGCAGGCGTGGTTGGATATTAACTGCGCCAGGCCCCTGTGGTCTGACGTCTCCCAAGAGCAGAGAGAGGTATATTGATAGACTTCAAAATAGAAAAACTTGGGGCCCTAAAATGTCGTTTAAAATTTAAACAGAAATTAAAAATACTAATTTAAAAAAAAATATTCACAAGCTTTTCTGAGACACTTTTGCATGGTGCACCTAATGTTATATGTGTTTGATTGCTGAAGTGTGGTTTTGGTGGAGGTGAGGGCAATATACGATATTTTCGCTAGAGCCTGCTACAACCTTTTCCCTGCTGTTTCGCTGTACATTGACAATTATGAGTGCAAGAGGGCACAGAGGAAAGGTAGATTCCTTGGAAAAGTATTTTTAGAAATAGTAGATTTGTGTAGTCGAAAAGCTGGCTTTTCTGTAGTGCTATAGATGTTGTCCTCAGCAGTTTAAGACTTTTCATAATTGAGTAGCTATGGTACAAAAATACGGTATCCTAAGAATTTCCAATATAAAATTAACCTAATGCTACTTTAAAAATGGTGAGAAAGTTCCCTACTTAAAATACACTGGTGCCCCTTTTTAATTGGAACAAAGTGTGCTTTTTAATTACCTTCATTCTCAAGATAGTGTTCACTTGGGACTTCTGTGTTAGTAACGCTTGCAGTTTTTTGGGCACGGTATGATGTGCTTTATGTATACTTGTACATGTGTGTACACCCCCCCCCCTTCTTCTTTCTAAATATACAGACACTGCTTTTTTCTGTGCACTTATGAAACTTTCCTGCTGCTGCCAAACAAATATTGGTTACTGTTTCATCTTTTCAATTTATTGTATATAATATTTTACAAAATATTTATTGTTTGTAATATTTTACAGAAATTATCAATATTGAATTATACAAGTATCTGGCGATACTGGCTAATCTTTCTGTATCTCCTTTTAAGTGCTTATTCACACCTGTTTAATGAGTATTTTCAACAGTTCATTTAGCTTTTGGGTTTTGACATTGTTTGGCTTATATCACATCTTGAAAAAAGTAACCTGTCAGTGTTTTTCACAACTTCAAACACTGTCAGGAAATGTTTTCATTTCCAGTGCTCTGTAACAGCGTATTGTTTTTTAAAAAGGTCTCATTTTCAAATGTGACTTGAAGATTCGCATTACTCATATTATTAGTTTGAAGATCTTGGATCACTTTGTTGATGGCTGTAATGCATTTTGAATGGAAGTCTCTGAATTCAATTAATTCTGAAATGTGATTGCAAAAAGATCTGCATCATATATAGACATTTGTGATAAGGTGTTTTTTTCTGTCCTTGCATCGCTCTTCAGCATTATATACTGAGATTTTTTTCCCCTTCCAGCCATTAAGATTATACGGAAGTTTTGTGGTTTTTTTCCAAAACTAATACTCAGTTACCCTCTCAAAAGCAAATTAAAATGTTAAACTGAAGTCTAAGCTGTTTGATATGGGTGAAGATTTTGGGAAAGCGGATGGCGTTAACTTGAATTTGTCAAAGGTGCTCCGTATTTCAGCAAAACGCAGGAGATGTGATTTCTGGAATGGCGTCTGAAGCTGACGCCTTTGCAAGATGAGAAGCTGAAAGGGTGTCAGTCTGTTCCTGTGTACTGTTGTTAATTCCATGGCACGTGAGGTACATCATCTTTCTGAACTGCTCTTGAAACTGCTTTCCTCACGGCTGCACCTCAGCTGAGCTTTTTAAACAGTGAATCGATTGCGTCTTCCCATTCTCACTAATTCTTTTTACCCGTCTGGGGTTTCAGAGGCTTTCTGTGTTTGGGCATTGTGCATTGTATCACAGCGTAGCAAAGGACGTATGGCATTAGCCAACCTGTGGGAGGGCTGGTGGTTTTGTTTTGGGGACAGCTGCTTTGCTGCAGGAGAGGAAGCCGAGGGCACGTGTCACACACTTCAGAACATGCCCTTCGTTTCTCAAAAGTAATTTCTGTGCTGGTTTTCTTCAGCTTTTCTGTTTTGCTTGGAAACTTTCTTGACTCTGAACTGGTGGGGATGTTGTATATTGAACATTTGGGGTATGCTGAAGCATACCTTGTATCGAGTCGGTAGTTTTTATTAATAGTAATTGGGCGTTATTTGCATGTGTTGGAGTGCTGATAGCAGCTTCCACAGATTGCCTTGAACAGGACTTCGGTTTCAGGTAGTAAGAAAACATTTTTAAAGATAATTTTCTTTACTCGGATACTGTAGCCTTACTTTTTATGCGACCAAACCAATTCATTGCAGTGTGTTCTTCTGTTGCCTCCACTGAAACTTGTACTTCCATCATCTTTTCGTCATTACATCTGTATTCCATAATGCCTAAGCTCTTCTGAGCCCAGTGTGTGCATCATGCAAGCGTGTTGACTTGGTTTCCAACTCCTTTATCCTTAAACTGTTCTAAATTTTTTATAGTCCATGTGGATAGTCAAATATGCCACGTTGTTAAAAATCTGACGGTCTTTTCTTCTGCTTGAGATTATCATGCTTTTGCTTGATTGAATAATCTTCATACAAATGGAAAAAAGTCCCGTTGAATGGGTACTTTATAGATCCACAGTGGAAAATGCTAATTTGAGCAGTCGTCTTGAGATATCCGGAACAGGGAAGTGACATTCATGTATTAGAAGAGTTTTGAATGGAATCTGTAGCTTTTAAAAACGATTATTTAGGGAAGATGGTCAGACCGGTCAGTGTGTAAGCATCAGAAAGAGTTGTGACAGCGTGAGGCAGCACTGTTGCTGTTCCACGGCACTTCGCGGTGACAGGCGAGGGAGCGGGACGCAGCCTGCGGGGAGCGGGGCCGAGGAGGCGTTCGGCGGCCGGGCCGCGCTCAGCGGGGTGGCCGCGCCGGGGGAGAGGCGCTGGCGGTCGGCGGGGGTGGGCTGCGCCGGG